TACCTGTGAATTATCGATCAGTTATACAGGTACAATACTTAATATTTCTTTATTCGATAGTTAAACATCTTACGGTCGTCCTATATAACGCTCATTAACGTGTAGTATTATTTAACATCATTTACGACAAGAAACAAGTATCTTACCTCCGAGCTGGGTAATAATGTTGTCCTGCTGGTCGTAAATTTGTAACCGTTGAGGATGTCAGACAGTCTTTTAAAAAAAAATCATGGATATCAACATTCGTAATTTCGATCGTAGAGTTTGACTTAAATAATTAAATATAAATATACATTACTAAACTCTTTTATACAACGAAATTTTACAACATTAATTCGACGAAAAATAAAGTGGAAGCGTTGGTCTGGTTTCCTGCCCAGATTGCCAACGGTTCCAATACTTCGCTGCCGTCATCTTTTTCCCTTTCATGGCTACAGATTGTTTTTGTTGTTATTATTATCGTTTTCTATAGTTATTAATTTTTGTTAAGGTTATTGCTGATGATGTTTTTGTAGGAATTGTTGATTTATTGTTGTTGTTATCATTGGTGTGTTTGTTGTTGTTGTTATAGACATTACTACAAAATATATCACCACCTGTAGTATCTTATAGGAGAATTAAGCCATAATCCGTAAGTTGATCAAATTTTTACTACATGAACTTCTTGGTTTGTTATTTTTTACCCGCCTGTCTTGACCTGACAGATGGATGTTATATATTTCTAGCTCGTGAGGGATTGGTTTCTTCTCTACTGCAGCTTAATATAGGTAAATTTTTAATACATTTCATACTGTAATTTATATTTACTTTTCTATGTATTTTTAGTATTTATTTTACATTTACCTGTATTTTATATAATTATTTATATTTCTACAGGTATATACATTTACTACATATATCCCTAGTATTATTTTACTGAATCTCTATGAAATAAAAACACAAATAAATAATGAGTAAAGTATTTTTTTATTACAATACACATGAATATATATTTCAATGTATAAATATATGTGAATCTTTTAAAAAACATTGGATAGTCTATGTACAATCTTATATACATACTTACAGTGGGACACACATAAGACTTAGCATTTGTATACGGTATGTGTAGTGTTCATAACTGAGTACAAGAGAGAGTACCATTGTTCAGGTTACAGTGGTACAAGGGGTGGGGTACATGGTAGCATTGTATACCCAGAGTACTGTACCATTGTTCAGGTTACAGTGGTACAAGGTGTTGGGTACACGGTAGTATTGTATACCCAGAGTACTGTACCATTGTTCAGGTTACAGTGGTACAAGGTGTTGGGTACACGGTAGTATTGTATACCCAGAGTACTGTACCATTGTTTAGGTTACAGTGGTACAAGGTGTTGGGTACACGGTAGTATTGTATACCCAGAGTACTGTACCATTGTTCAGGTTACAGTGGTACAAGGGGTTGGGTACACGGTAGCATTGTATACCCAGAGTACTGCACCATTGTTCAGGTTACAGTGGTACAAGGGGTGGGATACACGGTAGCATTGTACATAACCTAACATAATCAGTATTAACGCGAGAGAAAATTAATTAACTCATGAGATATACACAGTCATGAGTTATACAGTCATGAGTTATACAGTCATGAGTTATACAGTCATAAGATATACACACACATGTATCAGTGTTTCATCAATAATACATAACTATACATTCTTCAGTATAAAACATATCTATGTATACTTCAATGATACACATACACACATGTTTCACCACTAATCAGACCTATGTATACTTTAACAATGAATAAGTATACACAACGTTTCAGTAATCCTATGTGTGTGTATTTTTCATGAACGTAAATGAAGTTCTTCAATAAACTATGATGCTCACGTCCCAACAATGTAGAGGGCATTAGTTATATGCCTAACGTCAACAATGCCACTTTAATAATGCCTCACTTAACCTAACACCATAATGTAAAACAAAAACAGACAGACATACTGAATGCTATATTAAACTGAGGGAGAAAGGGAGATAATAAGCAATAATAAAAAATAATATAAATAACAGACCCCCCAAAAAAATATTACAGTAAATTACAGCATAAATTATTTCTCTCTTGTACTAAATTAACTTCATGTGTTAAATAATAATGACATGGTAATTGTACTTATTTTATATAATTTGGTTCATTATCATTTAATCTGGTAATTAAATAGGAGACATTAATTAATACTGATATTATTTCTTCACTAGCACACCAGATTAAATATAAAAAAATATATAAAGAATAATAATTGATTATTTTTTATTGACATGAAATTTCAGTCTGATCCAGTTACCATGATGACGTCACCAACATGACCTCCCTTTTCAAAGATGATTGGCTGGGAGGGGATAGTGACGAGGCCCACCTACAGAGTCTGATTGGATGATTGGTAACCGGGATCCCTATGAAGACTTTGATTGGTCAATTGGCTCTCTCACACACACACACACACTTATTGGGGGAATCCGCTCTGAGATCTAATGAGAAAAAAAAAATGGCTTGATAATCTCAGACGGACTTGAATGGAGGTCTTTCATCTCTTAAGAGTACGAGGGAGGATGAAAATAGCTCCTCTCTTCACTCCATCAGTTAGAGTGAGGGGGGGAGAGAGGGGAGAGAGGGGGGAGAGAGGGAGGATAGAAGAGGGGGAGGGGAGATACATACAGCACTTCCATTGATGGTACTGTATGGTCCCCTTCTCTTAGCTGGGGAGGGGAGAGGTGGGGGAGGAGGGAGGGGACAGTGGGTAGATGAGGGGACGGAGAGGGTAGATGGGGAGGAGAACGGACGGAGGAAAGAGAGGGAATAGTTGAGGATAGGGGAGGAACGGGGTAGATGGGAAGGACTGAATGGGATAAAATAAAAGAGGGGAGGAAAGGGAAGATAATGAGGGAAGGAGGAAGAGATTAATAAACAAAACAAATAAACAAAAGAGCTCCATTCATACCCACAATGCACCTCAACATGGCTCCAACTAACACGTAAACAATAACAAAAGCGACTTATTTTTCTTTTTGTACTGGATAACTTTGTTGATGTTGTTCAGTACCTAAACAATATATATATATACATTACTATGACTTAGAAAATGACTATCATAGAAATAGACAGCACTAGAATAACTAGAGCTATTTACTATTATTATTGACATTATTAAAGATAAATCAAACAGGTCTCTAGAGTATATTTGGTGCGCTGTTATGTAGTAGTAGTTATTAAAGAGATGCCTCAAAACTGCCTCCTTATACACCTGGGAACTGTAGCGAAGGAAGGAAGGAAGGAAGGAAGGAAGGAAGGAAGGAAGGAAGGAAGGAAGGAAGGAAAGGAAAACACACACAAGGAGACAGACAGACAGAAGTCCACACAGTACAATAAACCCCCCACCATCAGACAAACAACCCCCCCACTCCCCCCCACCCACCCCTCACCCCTCTCCTCACACACAAAATAATCCCACATTGTTCAGAAACACCAAAAAACCACCAGGTGTTAAATTATCGCCACTGTTTCCTATGAGTTGATCAATGGACTTATTTCCTAACGTGATAAGTGCTTCCTTCTTCTCCTTCTTCCTTCTTCTCCTTCTTTCTTCTCCTACAAGACGCGGTACCACCAGGCTATACCACCTTCATGACTCCTGGCCTAGTCTTGTGTTTTGGAGGAAGAGGAGGAGGAGGAGGAGGAGGAGGAGGAGGAGGAGGAGGAGGAGGAGGAGGAGGAGGAGGAGGAGGAGGAGGAGGAAGACGAAAGGAGGGTGGAGGAGGACGGAGTGGAGGAGGGAGGGAGGATGGAGGAGGGGGAGGAGAAGACGGAGGGAAGTTGGAGGAGGGGACGGAGTGGGAGGGAAGTTTCTCATGCTCGGATAATATGTGGAATGGGAGGTGAGGAGGAGGTGGTGGAAGGGATAGCGGGTGTGGCATTGGGTGGAGAGGTACTAGAACTGCAGGAGGAAGAGGGAGGGAGAGGGAAGAGCTTCGGAGGGGGAGGAGGGGGTAGAAGGAGGGGAGGAAACTGGGGTTGGATGGGAAGGGGGGAGATAAGTTAAGGGTGGAACTGCAGGGAGAGGGAGACCGGAGAAGGGGCAAGGAGAGGGGGAGGAAGGGGAGAAGGGGGGAATAGCCGGGGAACATAACAAAACAAAAACAACTAACGAACAGATAATGGTTCACAAAGACAATGAATAATCAACAAAAACAAAAGACAAAAAATAAAAGAAAGAGAAATGAATAAGAAATACCGACAATAGATAATAAATGAAGAACAGCGGAATACAAAGAAGAATTAATCAGACACAGATGGAAGAATGTGTTTAAGAATAAGACTTGTTCACCCTTCCTTCATCACCATCAATAACAGCAAACATTCCCATTATCAGTCAGAGTTAAAACGCTAACTTGTAGATCCACCAACCTTCATCACCTCAAGTTCCTCCTATAAATAAAAAAAACAAAAACCACTTTTAATGTGTGATATTTTTCACCTCATTTACTGCTGTCAACAGGTACAGCAATCAACCCTCTTGGCTCTCCGTCTGCGACCTCCAAGAACGGTGAGTTGGTTCTGGGGCGAGGCAAGATGGGGCGGGGCGGGGTGAGGAGAGGTGGGGCAGGGCAGCTTCCCATGACGAGGAACATTTAGCGCCCTCTGTCTGCCAGGTCGCCGGAACTCACACCGACGAAGCAGTGAGAAGAAGAAGCAGGAGGAGGAGGGGGAGGGGGTGGGGGAGAAGGAGGAACCGTTCTTCTGATTTCTTTCCCTTCCTCCTCCCTCACAAGTTCAGGGTCGCATATTGTTCGAGGTGGTGTCAGCGGTGTGCCTGACTCCATAACCTCCTGGCGACCTCTTGATGACCCCCCCCCCGTGCCACCGAGTCGTTCTCACTACCGCCACGACACCCGCGACTCATTGTCTATAAACCACAATCATATTTCACTCAACACATCATATTGTAACTTTAACTTCATTGTCTTTCTTTCTTTCTTTCTTTTCTTTCCTTCTTTCTTCCCCTCAAGCACCGTGTCAGAGAGCGTGTGAATGAAGGGTTTATATTAACGCTATAAATCTCCTCACTGACTCCTCTACACTGGGATCGGTTGACGAGGACCACAACGATACTCTGAGTTTATGATCTGAAACAAGAGAGAAGAGATAACGTTAGTACATATGAGCTTGTAGTGTTGGAAGGCGAAGTATGACTCGCCCTTACACGTAACAATCGCCCTTAGACGTATACACTCACCCTTAGACGTATACACTCGCCCTTTGTTACCCTAATACAATATACATACGTGAAAATTGGCCAAATAATGACTATGCAAATTGGTTTGTGTGTGAAGAAAAGACAGAATAAAACTCACCTAATCTTTGGCATCAAGCAGCAGCTGTAGTAAACTTGCTCAGATGTAGAAGCAGTTCTCGTAGTGCCGACAACAAGACGTTCTTCTCACCGGCAGAGGAGGAGGTCGACTCTCTACCCTCAGTACCTCACACTGTGTTGTCGTGGTGGGGCAGGAGGGGGTTGGCGTAGAGGAGGGGGTTGTCGTGGAGGAGGGGGTTGTCGTGGAGGAGGGTAGATGTGGAGGATGGAGTTGACGTGGAGGTGGTGGTTGTCGTGGAGGAGGGTTGTCGTGGAGGGGGTTGTCTTGGAAGAGGGGTAGGTGTGGATGAAGGAGTTGTCGTGGAGGAGGTGGTTGTCGTGGAGGAGGGTTGTCTTGGAGGGGGTAGGTGTGGATGGAGGTTGTCGTGGGGGAGGTGGTTGTCGTGGAGGAGGGGTTGTCATTGGAGGGGTTGTCTTGGAGGAGGGTTGTGTAGATGAAGGAGTTGTCGTGGAGGAGGGGTTGTCGTGGATGAAGGAGTTGTCGTGGAGGAGGGGGTTGTCGTGGAGGAAGGGGTTGTTTTGGTATTGTTTGTAGAGCAACACGGTGGACAGTTGGTGTGGTTCTCTGGACTCGTCAACACCGGCAAGGATTTACTCTTCATGGTGGACGCGGTGTTGAGTATTGTTCTTGGCACTGGTACTGGCGCCGTGTTGGTGGTTCTTGTGGATGAAGTCGAGGAGGAGGTTTTCGAGGGCGAGGAGGCTGGAGGAGGTTTAGAGGTGATGACTGAACATATGGGAGGTTTTGATGTGACTTTGGTCTCTGAAGGTTGAGTAATACTGGGTCGAGGAGCTGTCTTGGTAGGAGAGGGCACTGGCGACGCTACGGGAGAGGCTGACGACGAGACTCCTGAAGAAGACGAGACATCAGAGGAGACACTGGCGTTGGAGGAACAACTCCCGGTGGAGGAGACACTGTTGGTGGAGGATAAACTGCCGTGTGAGGAGATGCTGAGGGCTGAGGACACACTGGAGGCTGAGATAAGGCTGCCGATGGTGGTGTTGTGTTCCTCGTGTTCTGACTCGGTGTCTGTACTCGACTGATCCAGACTCCGCCGCCATGACATCTGACGGAAGGAGAGAAACAAAGGTAAAGACTCGTGGTTTTACATGACACACTGTTGTTGTCACCAGCTGCTATTGTTCTTTGTCTGGAGAGATGATCTTAGGAAGTTTCTTGGGGTAGTCAGGAGAACAAGAATATAGAAGCATAAGGTCTTACCCAACAGTGAATGGTAACATTGATAAGAGAGTTTAATAGAACAGCTACTTACTCTGGACTTGAGACTGAGGGCGTAGGAGACGTTACGGCGGAGGACGAGGGCCAGGTTGGCTCTGGCAGCTCTCGGCCACTCGCTCTCCACTAACAGCGGACACTCGTCTGGCCGCAGTGGACGGTCGCTGTACGGGCTCTTGTTCACCTCGTGTACCGTGTAGTGTTTGGGGTTCTCCTTGTTGCTGTAACAGTTGAGCAGCAGCTGTACCAGTTCCTCAGCCGTCGTGCGGTACGACACCAGCAGCGACTTGTACTGCGACTGTGAGGGAGAGAAACTTTGTTAGCCAACAGGTGTAAATATTTGTGTCCTTAACAACCAATTAACAGCCGCTGTGTTGGGTTAGAGACTAAAGCTAATATTAACAGCCGCTGTGTTGTGTTACAGACTAAAGCTAATATTAACAGCCGCTGTGTTGTGTTACAGACTAAAGGTAATATTAACACCAAGTATTAATATAACACTGAGTCACTCACCCCGGGCATGAGGATGGAGTCGTACACACGCAGCAGACCACCACGACGCAAGCCCACACTGAAGCGCGCCTCCCCTCGTGGGCGGCACTGCTGTAGCTCGGCGGGGCAGGCGTGGTCCTCCAACTCCAGCAAGCGACGGGCGGGGGCTCCTCCTCCAGGGGCCCTCACCACCACCTCCATCGTGATGAAGAACAGGTTGGGGTCACGGTGTCGGAGGCGGAACTTGGCCAAGAGCATCAGGATCAACTGACGACACGTGGTGGACGACGACAAACTCATCGTCTTGTACTCAATGTCTGGCCGTAGTGACCTCAAGTGTATCTTCACCGCCGTCTGCAGGAGAGAGAGAAGAGCAACACGTTAAGATAAATCATAAGAGAAAGAGAGAGAAGAGAAGAGCAACAGGTCGAGATAAATTATAATACAGAGAAGAACCAAGAAACACGTGACAACAACAAGAACACAACAGAAGGAAATACTAAATAAAAATAACAAACGAGAGAAGAAAACAACACAACTAAACGATAAATACAAAACAAACAAGAAATAAACTAAGGAGTGGATGGATACTACCCCCCCCCCTCTCTCGCCCTCACGGCTTCATCATTCAGTAACTGTAATACATAACACAATTACCAGGGTTCGTATCCATCTGGGAGACGCCATGACTGTATGTATGTATGATTGGTATGTATGTATGATTAGTATGTATGTATGTATGTATGTATGTATGTATGTATGTATGTACTGTATTTATGTATGTATGTATGTATGTATGTATGTATGTATGTATGTATGTATGTATTGTATGTATGCATGTAATGTATATGTATGTATGTACATAAAAAACAAAGCATCAATATTCTTCTTGCAACCCCAATAAAAGTCAGGTGTGTGTGTGTGTGTGTGTGTGTGTGTGTGTGTGTGTGTGTGTGTGTGTGTATCCTTCACCCGGAGACAAAGCCAGCATCACCCCCTCGTCATCAGCACCTGCAGGAGTCAGCTGGCTTGGATAGAACCAACAAGGACGCCCCTACCTCGGAGGCCCCGTGGCTGTGCCCCAGTAGCCGCGGGTGGTCGGGGGTCAGGTCAGGAATGTCGGGTCACGTGACAAAAAGCCGAGATCGAGAAGGTTACGTGGGTCAGGGGTCACGTCGCCCCGGGCACAGCTTCTGGGCACCGACTGGCGGGCAGGGGGTAGAGAGAGGTGGAAGGTGTGGGTAGTATGTGCTGGGGGGTTGGGGGGGGGGCGAGGTCTTTGAAGCAAGGTAAGTGGGAGGGGAAGTGGGGGTGTTATGGGGTGGGCAGGGGGAGGGGAAGTGGGGCAGGGGGAGGGGAAGTGGGGCAGGGGGGGAAGCAAATCATGGTACGGGGCACGAAATATTTCTCTTTGTTCGGGAAGGAAATAGATTCAGTTATAGTGTGTGTCGCCAACGGAGCATCATCGACCTCGTTAAACGCTACTGTACAACGGAGGAGGAGGAGGAGGATCTCAACGCCAGTCTTCGCCAGGCGGTCGCTCTCAAAAAAAAATATCTGAATATCATTAAAATTTACTAAAAGCTCTTTAAAATAATTCAATTCCTTTTTCAGCAAATTCGAAACTCCCTTCATAAATTCTAAGCCACTTTAGAAAAAAAATCGAAACCTCTTATCTCAATCCCAGAACCTGTCTTTTCAACCTTCATTTAATTTATGAGAATCAAAGGTGAATTGGATAACTCAACCTGTTTTTATTTTCTCTCTCATTTAATTATTGTATATAATTCGATGCTCTTTTGTTTTGTAAGGCAATTCAGGTTGTCAATTCCTACGATTACTCAGAACACAGTTTTAAAACACCTGTCGTGGATAATTCTCAATTCTAATCTGCAGAAAAACTCACCTGATTTGGCTTATTATTCTCACGTGATCTTAAATTATCAGCCAAATCAAGTTTATTATTTACATCTTACTCTGTCCTTCTGACACCTTAATAATTACGATACAGTTACCTGGGTGTAATTATTGCATACCTGTGTTTATACCTGTTGTTGTTGTTGTTGTTTTCTCGAAGTTATGTGACAGCTCCTCCATCCCTACCACCACACCATCTCCACCACTCTCCTCCATCCCCACCACCATACCATCTCCACCACTCTCCTCCATCCCCACCACCTCCTTCTCCACAGGTGAGCCACTCCATCTACCTGGCTTTGTAACCCTTGATTGCTTCGATTTTCCGCAGGCGAGTGATTTAGGGTTGTAGGTTTACCCCCCTCTTCCCCTCCTCTCCTTTCCCCCTCTCATTCTTCTCCTCCTCCTTCGACCTCTCCTCTGTCTGCACCCTCTCCTCCTCCTCCCCCCCTTCGCCCTCTCCTCCTCCTTCACCCTCGGCGTCGCCACCTGCTGGTAAGGACAGGAGGACTCACGTGCCCCTACACACACAAAAGACAAAGGGCACAACCACACATAAATAAACATCGCCAACACGAGCATTCACCATCGCTTGGCTTTCCCATCTATGCAAACAACGCCAGGCGAACGGTCTCCCATCTTGTGTCCGGCGTCTCTTGGGTTAGGAGTTAGGATAAGCTGGATAGGGGTGGGTTAGGTTAGGTTAGATTTAGTTAAGTTAGATTAGGTTAGGTTATTTATATTCCCCTAAAGATCCACGAGTGAAATCTGTCGCAAAATCTTCGCCTTTAACCTCGTGAGAGAAAAAAGTAAGGAAGGCGCCATTGTCTTCACGGTCTTATAAACACAACGAGACGCTGCAGGGTGTTCCTCTTCTCCCTCCCTCGCTCGTTCTCCCACCCTCTCCTAACACCTCCCTCGCTCGTTCTCCCTACCCTCTCCTACCTCCCTCACTCGTTCTGAGGTTCGAGGGTGAGGTTATGGTGAAGCGAATACGTGTGTAGTCGAGGAGAAATAAAGACGAGTAAAAGAGATACATAATGAGAGAGAGAGAGAGAGAGAGAGAGAGAGAGAGAGAGAGAATGTGTGTGTGTGTGTGTGTGTGTGTGTGTGTTATATCCCCACAAACACCGTAATCAAAACAAACCTTATCAGAGACACTTGGTTGGGCAGGCACGTGTGTGGGGGTAACCAGACGTGTGTGTGGTTTAGTCAGTGGGCGTGTATAGGTTACAAGGCGAGTGTGAGTGTGTGTGTGTGTGTGTGTGTGTGTGTGTGTGTCAGTCAGTGGGCGTGAGGTGGTCGGGCAGGGCACCACGATAAGCTTCACGCATTGAACTCCAAAATCCTCACTGCTGTGCGCAAAATGAGGGCGGCGTCCGGAACAATGGAGAGGGAAGGACACGCGTACCTCTTGACAACAATGAGTAAAGCCGAACGCGCACACCAGGGGTTGTTCCATTCACCCCCTTCCCTTACCTCCCTTTCCCTTCTTCCCTTTCCTTGTACCCTTGACTTTCTTCCCTTTCCTTGTACCCTCTTCCCGTCCCCTTTACCCTCCTCCCTTTCCACTTCCTTGCCCATTTACCTTAATCTCCTCCCCTTTCCTTGTCCCTTTACCCCCTCTCTCCCTTCCTAGCCTGTCAATCTCCCGTACTCTCTACTAACCCCCTTCACCCTTTACCCCCTTCCATTGGCCCCCTTTAGCTCACGCTGTGACCCCATTAAACAAGGAGTATTTAAGTGGAGGAGAAACAAAACACTCACTCAGACGATGGTTCGATCCCAGTCACTATAAGTCACTGTTAGCCCCACGTCCACACAACTCTGTCCACTTTTGTATATTATTGACACAGTTGAGAAGGTAAATGGTACTACTACTACTACTTTTTTTAACTACTACTACTATTACTACTACTGCTACTACTACTATTACTACTACTGCTACTACTACTTCTACTATAACTAATGAGAAGAAGAAGAAGTTAAGTGTTGTCTGTTTATCCCAAAGTTGACTCAGGAGGGAGGAGAGGGAAGGGTGAAGAAGGGAGAGTGAGAGAGAGGGAGGACACTGTTGATCTCCCTCCCTTGTGTGGGTCTAGGGCGGTGGTGTTGGCGCGGCGGCTCCCTGGCGAAAGTTAATGAGAGAGAGAGAGTGTGTGTGTGTGTGTGTGTGTGTGTGGAGAAGTGGCTATGGTCGGGCAGAGACTCTCAACACGAGGGAGGAGGAGGTAGACGGGGGCACGTCGGTCTTAAACTCAGTACTTGGAGTTTTTTGGGTTAGGTTAGGTTGGATTAGGTTAGATTAGGTAACGTTGGATTAGGTTAGGTTAAACTTCAAGTCTGGTTTCTGGGAGGGGGGAGGTGAGGGGGCGTTAGTGAGTCCCTGGATATGGGCCAACACAAATACCCTTCCTCTTCCCTACCTTCCTTCCCCTACCCTCCCCCCTCCCTCCCCCCTCCCTCACCCCTCACCCACGACGTAAAACATCTGACGGTCGGAAGTAGTTACACGTCATCATAAATGTCTAGCCCATCAACGTCTAATATAGGTTAATTAAAAACCAGGTGAGGTAAGAGACTACCATCACCTGTATCAATCTTTGTACATCACATTCATTAACTTTTTTTTAACCTGGATAAATTGGATAACTTGTTCTTGTATTATATGATAAGTGGATCTTGTTTCATGGGAGCTAAAAATATATGTTTATTTCACCTGATCATTAAACACTAATGCTCACCAAATCTAACATAATATAACCTAACCTAAAGTAACCTAATCTACTAACTAAACTAACCCTAACCTAACCCCACCTCACCTAACCCAACCTCACTTAACCCAACCTCACCTAACCCAACCTCACCCTACCCAACCTCACCTAACCCAACCTCACCCAACCCAACCTCACCTAACCCAACCCTAACTTAACCAAACCTCCCTAACCAACTCAGGCGTCGTAGCATAAAAATAAAGGAACGGGGATTAATATGGCCTGTAGACCCAAGTTGAGTTAGGCCTCTGTCACGACGGGCGGCTCACCACCCACCAGTGACGCAGCCACCGCCGCCGCCCCAGGAAGGAAGTACCGCCCACACCAAACCCACGCAGGAAGCTCATTACTTAACAGTGGGAACCTGGGATTGTTGTGTTGACCTGTGTGTGTGTGTGTGTGTGTGTGTGTGTGTGTGTGTGTGTGTGCCCTATTGACACACACACACAAACACTATACCATACACCACTCACCATACCGCACACACAACTACAAACACCATCCAAACACACACCCATACACCATCCACTCACCAAAACACACCCATCCACTCACCGAAACACCCTATCACTCACCCATCTATCCACACCCACACGAGGCCACATGAGTCACCAAATCACAGTTCATAATTCTATATATTTTTCTTCTTCAAGGCCAGAGTGTGACTTAGCCCCTGGCCAGTGTGTATTTTTAGACACTTAATACTTCAAGCATCAGTACTTCGAGGATAACTTCAACCATTCACTTCAAGGATAACTTCAACCATTCACTACGAGGATAACTTCAACCATTCACTACGAGGATAACTTCAACCATTCACTACGAGGATAACTTCAACCATTCACTACGAGGATAACTTCAATCATTTACTTCAAGGATAACTTCAACCATTTATTTCAAGGATAACTTCAGCCATTCAATTCGAGGATAACTTCAACCATTCACGTCAAGTATGACCTTCCTTAACCATACACAACCTATCACCCACCATAACCTCTACCATACACTCCAACCTACCACCATAACCACTACCATACACTACCACCATAACCACTACAATACACTACCATACACTACCACCATAACCACTACCATACACTACCACCATAATCACTACCATACACTACCACCATAATCACTACCATACACTACCACCATAACCACTACCATTCACTCCTACCTACCACCATAACCACTACCATACACTCCTACCTACCACCATAACCACTACCATTCACTCCTACCTACCACCAAAACCACTACCATTCACTCCTACCTACCACCATAACCACTACCATACACTCCTACCTACCACCATAACCACTACCATACACTCCTACCTACCACCATAACCCCTACCATACACTCCTACCTACCACCCTTACCCCTACCATACACTACCACCCTAACCACTACCATACTTCCAGGTACAAGAATTATGTCACACTTACCCATAACAACTTACCACTACTTACTATTGTTGCTATTTACCCTCCTTCCTGCCACTACACCGCCACTACTACTACTACTACTACTACTACCATCATCACTACTACTATCATCACCACTACTACTACTACTACCATCACCTCCACCACTTCTACCACCACCACCACTACTACTACCATCATCACCACTACTACTACCATCATCACCACTACTACTACCATCATCACCACTACTACTACTACTACCATCACCACCACCACTTCTACCACCACCACCACGACCACCACCACTACTACTAACATCATCACCACTACTACTACTACTACTACCATCACCACCACCACTTCTACCAGCACCACCACCACCACCACTACCACTACTACCACCATTACGACAGTTCACGTATATCACCAGCAACAGCCGTACCACATCGCGTCTACCACCACCATCGCCACGCCCTCCACCACTACCATCCATGTCTTGATAATTTATGTTTGTAGTCAGTTTCCGGAACTTGTTTTACCTTTCTTTGGTAGCTGTTGTTGTGTGGTGGTGTGGTGGAGGGTACTGTGTGGTGGTATGGTGGAGGGTGGTGGAGGGTACTGTGTGGTGTAGTGGTGGAGGGTGGAGTGGTGGAGAGTGGTGGAGGGTACTGTGGTGGTGGAGAGTGGTGGAGGGTGGAGGGTGTGTGGTGGTGTGGTGGAGGGTGTGTAGTGGCGGAGTGGTGGAGGGTACTGTGTGGTGGTGTGGTGGAGGGTGGTGGTGTGGTGGAGGGTGGTGGAGGGTACTATGTGGTGGTGTGGTGGAGGGTGGTGGAGGGTAATATAAACACAGGTACAACACTTGGCAGTCAGTCGGGGACACTCACCGTGTGTTGCTCGTTGAGGGAGTTGGTGGAGGAACACCTCGACGACAGCCTCCCAGCCGCCAGCGAGGAGAAGCTCAAGGTGGAGTGGAGGCTGATAGTGTCGGGGGAGTGGTAGTTCTTGAGGTTGAGGTTACTCTTGAGGGACAGAGTGTCCGACAGAGGCTCATCCTTCAAGGACATGGTATCCGAGGACATGAGGTTGTTGTTGCCCCCCTTGAGGGACAACTGGGGCGAGGAGGGAAGCTCACCCTTCAGGCTCATGGTATCCGGGCTGACACTTGAGCCTCGGCAGGTGAGGTGGTCGGAAGATACTCGACCCAAGGACGAGGTGGAGCGATACGTCACGTGTTTCAGCATATTTACGACCTGGAGGGAGAGAGAATGAGCGAGTGAGTGAAGAGATCAACACACCATTATACAATACTTGACACCAACTCACATCACTCGTACATTTTTTCTTGAACAACAACAACAACAACACAGTACTCGACTCCAGTAATTACTTCAGCTGGTTTATAAACGTAGATAAACACACACAATAATACATACACACACACACACACAAACACAACCATACATACACACACACAAACAAAAATATCACAAATAAACAGAAACAAACACACGTACACACTCTCTCTCACACAAATATACAGAGAGAGAGAGAGAGAGAGAGAGAGAGAGAGACCTGCAGTAGCTACTTAATGAGGAAAATTATACACCATGAGGAAAATATACAAACACCCTCCCCCCCCTCGACCTCCTGTTACCCCGAGGACAAAAGGGGAAAAGTTTCTGCTCCGGGAGGAAAAACTACAGCAAGTGTTGATAATGGAATGAGGAAAGACCGGACGATGGTTAACTATGGCTGTAGGAGGAAAATTAGTGCTGGTGAAGTGCTTGGGACAGACACACACACGTACACACACAATACAAACACACACACACACAACACACACACACACACACACAAGCATGAACGGGTTATCCAGCTGAGAAAACAGATGACAATAGATTATAATTAAATTGAACTTGACTGAAGGACTAACACAAAAGTCCACCAACTGTGTCATAAGACTAAAATGGATGAGAAAAATAACCCAAGGAGTACAGGCATAAAGAGTACAGGGTCATCGTACTCAAGGGAACTGGTTATCGTGCTAAAAGGGTTAATTTAATTTATGGTAGTATTCAAGGGGTTAAGACATTGTACTCAAAGGGTTGGCATCGTACTCAAGGGGGTTAGATCATTACACTCAAGAGGTTGGCATCGTACTCACGGGATTGGCATCGTACTCAAGGGGTTATATCATTGTGCTCAAGGGTTTGACATCGTACTCAAGGGGTTGGCACCGTACTCTCGTGTTTTCGTAGTTACCCATGAGTCATAGTTGAGGGGAAGAGGGACCTAAAGACCGACAGTAGTAAGGACAGTAGCACTCACTGACCACATAATGTTGGTTCATCTTAAATACTCGAAAGTGACACTCCCCAAGCATGAGAAAGGACAATGGCACTTCCCAACCACGTGAGCAATGACACTTTCCAAACACGTAAAGAAATAGTGGCACTTTCAACCACGAGAAAAGTAGCACTTCCCAACCACGACAACAACAAAAAATACCTAAAAGTTATGTAACAGTTTGACGAATAACTGTTGTTGATAATTATAGTACAAGACGGGCAGTAGGAAAGTGTCAGTGTGACGGACAATTCCACTACAGGAAAACAAGAACAAGAGACGTGATAACAACTTCTTCTGGTGAGTGGGAGGTGTTGTGAGTGTCTTGTGGTGAGTGGGAGGTGTTGTGATGTCTTGTGGTGAGTGGGTAGGATGAGTGGGCAGGGGTGGTGGTGTTGGTGGTAGTGAGTGGGGTTGATATGGAGGTATTGATGAGTGTGATGAAGTAGTGTAGGTGGTGGTGAGTGGGAATGTTGCCAGTGACTTGAGAGGGCAGTGAGTGGGAAGGAGTGTTGCTGGGTGTGATACAAGGTGTTGCTGGGGTCAACAAGGGAGTGTGTATACAGAGACAACACCATCAGGCAGGGAAGCTCCTCCTCACCCGACCCTGACGTGACATAAACACACACGGCCGAGTCTCAGCATCTCTCTCTCTCTTTTACATACACACTCTTTACTTATACACACACTCTCTCTCTCTCTCTCTCTCTCTCTCTCATACAGTCATCTACACTACACAACATACACACATATATATATATAAGCTCATCAGAAATAGGTACAAAACAGCCACAGGACCAATACTCATAAACCACTAAGTATAACTCGTTCATATCTCCTCTATACAATGTTTTACTGTACCCCAGAATTGCCTTATCTAATCACAAACACTAATTAGTCCCTTTGAATGCTGACAGAATGCTGATAAACGCTGACAACGGCTGACAATGATAATATTTTGACCTCTTTACCTGTGGGAGTTCTGATGGATGGATGTTTTTTGCTGTTTTGTTTTTGTTGATAAGAGAGTTGTGAATCTTTATTTGAATGTTGTGTGTCTGTGTTATAGAAGCAATGTTGTTGGTGGTTGTGAAGTCAGAGATATGTTATTATTATTGTTGTTGTTATTATTATTGTTGTTTTTGTTGTTGTTGTTGTGGTTGTTGTTATTATTATTACTACTAAGGTCACCTATATCCTATGTCAGTTCACATACAGTACACGAATCACTTGCAAACTCACGAATCAAGTCACGTATACAAACGAATCAATCACATGCTCACGAATCAATTACTTGTGCACGAGTCAGTCACAGACACACGAATATATAAACTAACCAAGAATTCTTCGTAACAAACAAACGTGAGAAACAAATCCAGTTCACTTTCAGAATATAAACACTTGTGGCGTCCCAAGCTACGGGCCAACCAACCAACGCATCACTTCACAACTTACCACTTATCATAGCAGCACCTAAACGTATCTTGCTGTATCCAAGGGTGTCACGGCACTAACTCCACATGGCAACACTCACTGATACAAAAGTTATCCGTTTTATTTTCTGAACTACAGCAGGACCCCAGCCAACAAGGGGAGGGGAGGTCCCACCCAAGTAGGCACCACTCACAAGCCACACTAGAGCGTGGAGACGAGATCCTCCCTCACAGAGCTCACAGCGTAGACTAGTGTGTAGTGTTTCCTACTCATCCTCCGTCGTGGCGCCCGGATCCAGCAGGACTGTAAGTTACCAAGTAGTCATATACAGTCAATTTTTAATCTCTACTAACAACCGCTTGTAAATAGGTAAACTACATTCTACAGAGTTGTGTAGATTATTCGACATAGAAGAACCAACAACGGGTTTATTTAGTACAGCAGTGAAGATTCATTAAGCATTACGATAAACTCACTACATGACAATTGCTCAGAGTTCCGGTGTTCTACGCACGCATCCTGGTTGCTCATTGGTCGCTCTATGACGTAGTAATCTTGGGTGGCTCCCCATTGGTTGTCAAATACTATGTACTTAAGGTTCGCTAGAGTAGTTAGCCAGAGAAAGAAAATAACACATAGAGTTTTTGTTTAATCTATACCAAGTGTTTAGTCTAACCTAACCTAATGTAATGTAACCTAACCTAACCTAACCTAACCTAACCTAATGTAATGTAACCTAACCTAACCTAACCTAACCTAACCTAACCTAACCTAACCTAACCCCCCCAGGTAGCGTTAGGGTGCTTAATCATCAGGTGAAATACACTGGGGAAGCTATTCTTCAGGTGATCCGAAAATACTAATAGAATCTTTAACCATCCAAACTATTAACGACCATTAACTACCAAATGAAGTTAAATGAGCCAGCCCTAAGTGTGTGGAACGAGCGAATTATCTCTACATGGTAATTTAACATCTTCACTACAGAGGCCGCCACTTTTAACATCTTATATGGTTAACGCGAGACGATTTTATTCAGCTCAGAGAGGATCCCGTACACGAGGGGTTAAGTTATTGAAACGAATTATTTACTAAAATTAATCCATCGTCCTCAAAGGGTTAAATCGTCATGTCAAAGGGTTAAGGATATCGTAATCAAAGGGTTAAAGAATTGTCCTCAAAAGAGTTAAACCAATCAAAGGGAATCAAAGGCGGTAGAACACAACAACAACAATAACAACAATAACACCAACAACAATAATAACAACAATAACAACAATAACAACAACAACAATAAAACAATAACAACAACAACAACAATAATAACAACAATAACAACAATAACAATAATAACAACAATATAATTAGACAAACATAAAACAATACTAATATATTCAACACACTCCTCCCTCCTCCTTCTCCCTCCCTTCCTCCTTCCATGTAGGTGTTCCAGCCAGAGGAGCGTGAGTGGGTAATGGTGGGGAAGAGATCAGGATCTGGGGCATTACAGGTTATACCAGAGAGGATGCGAAAGATAATAAATTGTTTTTTCTTTTTCTTTTTTTTTTTCGCTTTTAAGATGATGTGTGTGTGTGTGTGTGTGTGTGTGTGTGTGTGTGTGTGTGTGTGTGTGTTTGAGAGAGAGAGAGAGAGAGAGAGAGAGAGAGAGAGTGTGTGTATTTGTGTGAATGTTTGAATTTTTTGCTTCTATGTGTGATTGTTTGAGTGTGTGTGTGTGTGTGTGTGACTGTTTGAGGTACGTGTGTGTGTGTGTGTGTGTGTGTGTGTGTGTGTGTGTGTGTGTGTGTGTGTGTGGGTCAGGGTCCCACGGCTTCAGGCTCAGATACACAAAGTCATCAAAATATACCATAAGAGACCTGTCACTGTTGATCTGTGTGTGTGTGTGTGTGTGTGTGTGTGTGTGTGTGTGTGTGTGTGTGTGTGTGTGTGTGTGTGTGTGTGTTTTGCTCTGTGCCATTCTCTCTCCAGTCGCACTCCTTGCCGGATACTATTGGAGGAGAAGGTTGAGGAGGAGGAAGAGGAGGGAGGAGGAGGAGGAGGTTGAGGAGAGGAAAGAGGAGGGAGTGAAAAGGAGGAGAGTCTAACCTCTAGTGTCACTCCGTCCACAACTGATGAGAGAGAGAGAGAGAGAGAGAGAGAGAGAGAGAGAGAGAGAGAGAGAGAGAGAGACAATCCAGTAATCCTCCACGACAAGAATAGGTCATCTGCCCTCACGAATTAGGGTATCAGGTCACATAAAGACATTGACCCCACATGCCTTAACGGAGTCCTAATCCATTTAATACAATATCTCTTTATTGATGCTAAAGGAACATAACTAAGTCAAGTCTCTGTGTAAATTTGACCCCATTTTGTAAGTTATTTTTAATGTTTTACCTTAATTAAGTGAGATTTAATTATATAATATTAACTTGAGAGGAAATTTTTACGGATGAATTTTTTTGTGATTTTTATTCCTATATTAATGTAGTTTTTTTGTAATTAAGTGATTTTTCGAGTTACTTCTACAAACGTACACGCACACACACACACACACACACACACACACGAGAATTTCATTTAAAATTACCAAAGGAATCACTCAACTCACCTGAAGGCTCTGTCATTAGGTAAACATTAAGTAAATTCTATAGTCATCTCCTGTTGAGCATCACAAGGGCGAGATGAGGTCATAACGGGTCGTCCTCCAGGTGTGAGTAATCCTTCTATAACGTGTTTGTGTTTGTGTGTGTGTGTGTGTGTGTACATGTGTGTGTGTGTGTGTGTACGTGTGTGTGTGTGTGTGTGTGTGTGTGTCGCAGAATGGTAAATAAAGGATACTGCGGGAAATTAGTGGATACAAGACTCACCTCCTTTCCAAAGAGTCACTGGTTCGATCTTGAGGTAAGCCCCCCTTCATCCCAGTCCAACCAGGTGTAAATAGGTTTACCTAACCACTGGGATTTAAGTTGGATGAGTTTAGGTTTAGGAGAGATAGGAAGAAACTGGCTCACAATAGGGTGGTGGACGAGTGGAACAAGCTTAGCAACTTTGTAGTAAGTGCTGGAACGCTGGAAAGTTTTAAAAGGAGGCTAGATAGATTCATGGATGATAGAGAGTGGTAGTAACTCTCTACAGGAGCTGCCATGCACAGACCAACCGACCTATTGCAGACTCCTTATGTTCTTATGTTCTCACCTCACCTAACCTAACCTTACAGTGTACTATATCCACACTGCCCCTAACTGGACTACAGTACCCGTTTTAACTTAACAAAATAACTAATAATTCTTCCTATCTCTCGTGTTAACAGATTCAGATTAATAACATAAGATCACAATGTAAGATCACCATCGGATATTTCCTGATGATGGAGCGTCAGAGGGCCAGGGCCAGTAGTACTCCTTTATGGCCAAGCAGAGGGCCTGAGTCATCCTCCATGGCCAAGCAGAGGGCCAGTAGTATTCCTCCGTGGCCAAGCAGAGGGCCTGAGTCATCCTCCATGGCCAAGCAGAGGGCCAGTAGTATTCCTCCGTGGCCAAGTGACCCGTCTATCAGGCTATACCATCAACAGGAGGTGGTGTGGACGGCGGGAAACACAGGCTACCTCTGTCTCCTGAAGCTGACAAGGAACACCATCACGGGAAGGAGGAGGAGAGGACAAGGTGGTGAGAGAAGAAGAGATGATGGGAGAGAGAGAATGGATGAGAAAGGAGAGGAGGTAAAAATGCAAGTAGAGGAGGGGATGAGAGGGGGGGGGAGATAATTAGAGAGAGAAATAGAGTGAAGGAAGGGAGAGGAGGCAACATGCGAGGAAGACCGAGGAGGTGGTCGTAAATACAAAGAGACGAGGGGAAGAGAGAGAGAGAGAGAGAGAGAGAGAGAGAGGGAGGGAAGAGATCAGAGGGGAGACAAACGAGGTGAACGTTATGAAAGATGGTAGAAAGAGTAGTAGTAGTAGTAGTAGTAGTAGTAGTAGTAGGTAATAAAATGGTATGGGAAAAGGATGGGGGGAGGTTGAGGCCATGCTTAAAAAAAAAAAAAAAGTAGTAGTGAAATAGTATTGTTGGCCAGTAGATGGTTTGCCCTCCCAATGTGTGTGTGGCTCTCCCTATGATGGCGATCACGCCATGGTCTGCAAGAAGGGGGCTTCATATGCATGAGGCATGACGAGGTAAGGGATCTCACAGCAAATATGTTGAAGGAAATCTGCCGGGACGTCATGGTAGAACCGACCCTCCTTCCACTGGATGGCGAGATCCTCCAACACAGGACTTCAAACACATCTAACGAAGCCTGTGTGGACGTCAGTGCTCGAGGATTCTGGACGCGGGGACAGCGAGCCTTCTTCGACATCAGGATTTTTGATCCCATGGCCGCTTGTCACCGTAACCTAGCTCTCGATGCTGCACACAGGAGGAACGAGAACGACAAGAGAAGGGCATATGGGGAGAGAATTCAAAACGTTGATCAAGGCAGCTTCACTCCTCTAGTGTTCACAACCTCTGGTGGGATGGGACCGCGCAAGATGCTTGGCCAGACGCGGCCCCAAAGCCGACAACAGTTGCAGATATTTACTATGCCGCATAGATCTGCGGCTCAACTAACTCAACACAGCCAGGATAGCTACTTATGTATTAGGATATTTAATTTTAAGGTAATAAAATAACGGCGAAGGTGTGGCTATTGGGGGAGGCTGGAGGCCACGTATAAAAAAAGTAGTAGTAGTAGTAGTAGTAGTAGTAGTAGTAGTAGTAGTACCATCAGCAGGAACAGTAGTCGTAACAATATCATCATCGATAAAGAACAACAAATCACCATGCACTCACTATACACGATCATCTGACACCACCGCCCAACACCACCACCACCACCACCACCAACACCACATCTCCCTGGAGTGGTAGATATGATCGAGGTATAACTCCCTCCCTCTATATATAGCTCCTGAGTGAGTAAATAAACACACGAGGGTTGATAGCCGGCATGGAGCGGGGGCAGAGACGTGCCTGTGAGGGCGAAGGTGTGTGTGTGAGGGGTGAGGTGTGTTGTTGGTCTTGTTCTTGTTCGTCTTGTTCTTGTTCTTCTTCTTCTTCTTCTTGTTATTCTTGTTGTTGTTGTTGTTGTTGTTGTTGTTGTTCTTCTTCTTCTTCTTGTTCTTGTTGTTGTTGTTCTTGTTGTTCTTGTTCCTGTTCGTCTTGTTCTTGTTCTTGTTCTTCTTCTTCTTGTTATTCTTCTTGTTCCTGTTATTGTTCT